TTGGATTAGCATCGACACACGAAGATTCTTATCGGAGACCTTATAAAAATAACAGTACACCTTAGCAGGTATAGTAATCGAGGGTAAATTGGTGACACCTTGATTTATGTACTTTACCAAGGAGGCTCGGAGGCTACGCACTGAACGCACTTCACAGCTATGCGTTTTGCTTCTGTTAAAGCGTCCTAGAACTCACGTTGCCCTCATAAATGCTACGAGAGATGACATGCCGACGAGACAACGGTATTTACTGTGATTCACAGAGTTCCTCGTACATTTATGGTAGCTAATCCTCAAGAAGACCCAAACGTCATCTTATCGAGAGGAAATTTCGTTTAATAGGGGTGTGCTTGCCTTCGCCCACCTGCAGTTAGCGACAATGTCCGGTTTTCTCGGTCCGTCGTGGTTTCTTTTCACTTGCCTCTGGGCCAACCGGCTCTTGTGTTAAATCACCAAGCCAATGCAAGTCAAACTAATGTATGACAGTAGCGATTGGAAGCAATCAATGTGTGGTTCGGGAAAGGTGACTGAACGCTTAGCTGCAAAAGTACAACAGGCGTCTGGGCCAACCGGCTCTTGTGTTAAATCACCAAGCCAATGCAAGTCAAACTAATGTGTGACAGCGATTGGAAGCAATCAATGTGTGGCTCGGGAAAGGTGGCTGAACGCTTAGCTGCAAAAATACAACAGGCTCACAACGTTGATTACCGATCGGCGATACACATTCTACGTGGTGAGGTGATATCGGTCGGCTATTGTTTGTCAAGCGAACCGCTTCTGTCCTCTCCTCGGAACAGTCCTGAACTCTAGGAACGACAAGAACGTCAGCATCAGCACTCTAAGCATTCCCCTGCAAGTTTTTTAAAACCAGTTATGGCTCTACTGTGGAATATCCAATCGGCCAGGTGATTTTCACATGAGAGTATACTGACTGGTAATCCGTTGGATCATTAGTAGCTTGGGTGCATTCGTTGGTAAGTGATCAAGTGGACGTTGATCTTTTTGCCGAGCTTGGTAAATGATTTCCAGACGTTTCGTCACCATTGGAAGATACAATCAGTATGCTGTTGTGTGGGTAGTTGCTATCTTCGCTTACATAGTTTACAAAGCGCCGCTTTAAGTTGCAGCCTGATCGGCTATTGACACTCATTTCACTTGGAATCTGATTGGTTGTACTATGATGTGTGTTGCGTTCTGGTCTGTATATCATGCGTTCGATTGCTTCACCACATACTAAAGTTGTCGTCCATTGTTTCCTGCTCTGATTGGTCCACTCGTGATTTGTATTACTTCGTGACACATCTTCCAGTTCGCAGCTGGACGCTCATCGCATGGATTACAAGAAGCACAGATCGACCACGCATTAGCATTCCGATCGAAGCGACTTTGGACCCATTGTTATCCCTCGCACTCAAGTGGAGCCTAGGAGGTTGCTTGAACTTTAGACTGGACATGTCAAACACTGGCTCGAAAAAACTGGCTATTTTTTGTTGTTGAATGCCCTGCAGTCGTGATAGATTTTTATCTAATTCAATGTGGAGATATTAGTTTGGATAAAACAGCCAGCTGACCAGAACCTTTCACAGTTCCAACAATTTTCAGTTTGCTTTGGGCCTGACATTCACCTGGCCTCGGCATCGCATCAATAAGTGGCTGATGTTATCTCAAAACATCTGCGTACATAAGAAATTGTCTTGGTTTCAGTATGAAAGTGGCTAGGAAAGCTTCCACCTTCCTGACAGATTGATAGGATCTGTTTGTAAGAACCTCTGCCAAAAAGGATAATTAGCTCTGCATGCTAGAAGTCTCTTACAGATGTTTTGACGGAACACACTACCGCTGTTGTGTTCTAATGATTATAATCACTAATCACATCATCTTGGTTTTCAACAAAATAGGGCCGTTGAACGAAATCTCGTGCTTGCTCTTTAAAAATATGCTGTCAGTTCGACTTCCCAGGTACGATCTCTGTCCCGTGTTCCATCTTCAGCTTCGTTCACGGAGGACAAAGAGAACGGTGGAATAATAGCCATGTGTTGGAGGCGATGGACCGGTCAGTTCGCTGACTTCCAATGGTTCCTTTTTTTCTGGTATGATAGGGATTGGGAGAGCTACACAGTGACTGTGATAGGGTTATAAATACATAAAATAGTCGTTCAGCTACAGCATCCTTTCGGTGCCTGACTGCCATGCCACCAGAAGGAGGCACGAGGGCTGGGATACTGTCAAGTTGCCCAACCCTAGACAGGGGAAGTCGAGAGGCAGAGGTCCGGTTCGAACCACGGTTAGTTTATTCGCGCTCTAACTACTGAACCATCTCGGCGATAGCTTTGTTACAGCAAAGTCAGTGACCGCGTGCCATAAGCGTATCTCTCAGGATCACGGAACAGTTTTTGGTCTTGTCCCGGAGTTTTCATCCTAAGAGACGATATTCACCCATTGTGACTGGATGGACTGGTGGAGATTCTCGTTGCCAAGTTGTGGAGTGACCGCACTAGGTGGCCTGGTAAGTGAAGCAGACTACTCCGCGGGATCATTGACGACAGCTTTCATCGTCGTCGTAAGATCATCCGAACAAGGGCGTCTTCATTGGAGGCCAAGAGGCTGCGCTACCGAATCGGATTTGTGTCGAATTATCTGCTTATGCAACAACTCTTTGCGTACCCGTTGTAGCCAGCTGACTCTCTCTATGCTACGAAGACACCGGTGATCACGTTTGAACCTGCCCAACTTCCTAGGATCGGGGGTTGAAAGTCACAACCATCAATTAGGGCCGCTCTTGCAGTTGCCTTGTACACAACCTCCTAGCTTCAACAGAAATCGTTCTCACTGCCTTAAATGACGTAATTTGTTGAACTCTGATCGTGCCTTCACAATCCATACATGCACTTCATTTGTCATATCACATTCACATTCTTTGCAGCTGCTAAAACGCATGAACGGATCAACAAAATCAAGCTCTTCATTTTGAAGTATCAGATGATGAGAGAACAATGGGAAATCTTCAAATAAAATTGAATTTTTAAGCTGCAAAGGCCGTGCCGAAAACTGGTCTAGATGTTCTGTTTAAAGTCGTATGCAAGGAAAGATAGTCGTCAAACCAAAATACCTTGTCGTACGCAGAATCCAAGTTCACCGATCTGTTGCGAGACATGATTTAAATAGCTAGACTCGTGGTCCCTGGGCGTGTGCACTCCACGACAGGGTCCATGACAAAGTTTTGGACATGAAAAGTGGAGTAGACTGTTCTAACAATCTTCACTAGACGTCAGGAGACTTTCGTACGGTTGAGATATCGAAATATAGGGCGCAAAGATTGTTTACGAACTCCATGGGCAGCCCTTTCTGAACAGTGGTATTTAGAATCTTTCATAATCGAGGAAAACTGCGTTTTTCGGTCGGCGGTTGTCATGCCGCTTTTCAAGCACTTGACGCAACAGTATGTCACAACCAGTTCACCCTCAGTTGGGTTGAAATTATTCCGAGATTCTTGGTCTTACCTCACGTGCCGAAGTTAGACATCACAGTGTATAGCCGTGTTACGACAGGCCTGAGACTCTTATCTCAACAGTTGGGCATTATTCCTGAACACCGGTAGGACAGTTAAGTGGCCGCATTCTCCCGAAATTCTGCCATCCGGCAATCTATATTTTGGTGCTCCTTTTATCCGCTGTTTGCGTTTATTTAAATTAGGGTTCCTGATATCACAACTTCTTGGTCTCATTGGTTTCACTGTATATCTTTTTCATACCTGGTTCCATGTCACTGGCTTTGACAATGATTTAATTTAGGGACCGCATTCTAACTGTTTATTCCAATGTTGCAAACCTTATTATCGAACAGACACAACGCAAATAGTGATTCTGGTCTACTCCGTCCACTCACTTGAATCCGCTATAATTAGCGAGTTACGATCGATTTGAACAGTCTGCGTTATTTACGTCTGGAAACCAGACCTGGCATAAGCTATAGTACAACAAACCCTGCAAAAACCTTTCTTTCAAGCATCCCCAGGACAGTGAGGGGTGACAATTCCACTGAAAGCGAATTGTTCGGAAAAGGGCTTTGTACCCAGAAACGGTTAGAGAATGGAATCAGTCGGCTGAGTGCGAATGGAAACTATGTTACAAATCTATCCGATGAATATGATGATGATCAGTGTGCGCGCTGTCGCCAAAATGTTTGCAGGCTAACTGTCAGGTTTGGCGAGCACACTAACAATCACCTGATGGACCATTGTAAAAATATTACCAGAATTTCCCCATCTGATGAACCACAGTAATTTCCTCTCTGAAAATCGAGTTCAACTGAAGTATGTTTCACGTACATTTTGGGTCAGACAAGGTTTGGGAAATCGTTCCGCCGTGAGACCACTTTATTAATTTCGTCTTTCTTAAGACCACAAATCACAGTTAGATACCAACCGACTGGTCAATTTCAGATAATACTATCCTTGAACTGATGACCGGTTTCGGTGAGCGTCACAGTATCTCCGCACTAGGCAGTGCGCCACAGGGGAATTTGCTTAGAAAAGTATGGAGGGATTATATTGCTTCGCAGAAGCGGAGGGAGAAAGCCTTCTAGCTTGAAAATAACTGAAGTTTAGCAAGATTCTGGGTCAAATTTGGAGGTATTCGACGAAGCATCCGATGTCGTACACGATACAATAGTTGTTCCCCACCCATTTCGCTCAATGTGAGTATTTGCTTTTTTTGTGAATACTCTGTTCGCATGCCTTTGGTATTTGCAAAATCCGTATCAAGACATTGGATCAATGCTGTCTTCACTGTTTAAGCAGTAGACTTATTTTGGCAGTGGAGGGGATACTGTATTTTTAAAAATGTACCCCTCAACAACAGTCAGGGCCCAACATTTTCATATCGTGGTCTGCTTGGTTCTACCTCTGTTTGCTTCAGTTCCCTGAACATTCTCAGTTGTGCAATATGCTTCTGGTAAGTTCTCCCAGTGTACAAAATCCTCCTGAAAACTGAAAGCTTGAGAAAATGTTATTTTACTGGTAATTTTGAGTGAATCACACTGCGGTACAGAAACAAACAATGGAGAATAAGGAACGGTAAAATTTTGAAAGTTCATTGGTTAACAGTAAAATAATCGACCGCATGATCATCTTCCCGAGGATCCCTTATCGGTCTTGTCCAGTTCAACTGTATTGGGCTTTTATCCGCTGTTTGCGTTTATTTAAATCAAGGTTCCTGACATCACAACTTCTTGGTCTCAGTGGTTTCACTGTATATCTTTTTTATACCTTGTTCCATGTCACTGGCTCTGACAATGATTTAGTTTAGGGACCGAATTCCAACTGTTTATTTCAATGTTGCAAACCTCATCATCGAACAGACACAACGCAAATAGTGATTCTGGTCTACTCCGTCCACTCACTTGAATCCGCTATAATTAGCGAGTTACGATCGATTTGAACAGTCTGCGTTATTTACGTCTGGAAACCAGACCTGGCATAAGCTATAGTACAACAAACCCTGCAAAAACCTTTCTTTCAAGCATCCCCAGGACAGTGAGGGGTGACAATTCCACTGAAAGCGAATTGTTCGGAAAAGGGCTTTGTACCCAGAAACGGTTAGAGAATGGAATCAGTCGGCTGAGTGCGAATGGAAACTATGTTACAAATCTATCCGATGAATATGATGATGATCAGTGTGCGCGCTGTCGCCAAAATGTTTGCAGGCTAACTGTCAGGTTTGGCGAGCACACTAACAATCACCTGATGGACCATTGTAAAAATATTACCAGAATTTCCCCATCTGATGAACCACAGTAATTTCCTCTCTGAAAATCGAGTTCAACTGAAGTATGTTTCACGTACATTTTGGGTCAGACAAGGTTTGGGAAATCGTTCCGCCGTGAGACCACTTTATTAATTTCGTCTTTCTTAAGACCACAAATCACAGTTAGATACCAACCGACTGGTCAATTTCAGATAATACTATCCTTGAACTGATGACCGGTTTCGGTGAGCGTCACAGTATCTCCGCACTAGGCAGTGCGCCACAGGGGAATTTGCTTAGAAAAGTATGGAGGGATTATATTGCTTCGCAGAAGCGGAGGGAGAAAGCCTTCTAGCTTGAAAATAACTGAAGTTTAGCAAGATTCTGGGTCAAATTTGGAGGTATTCGACGAAGCATCCGATGTCGTACACGATACAATAGTTGTTCCCCACCCATTTCGCTCAATGTGAGTATTTGCTTTTTTTGTGAATACTCTGTTCGCATGCCTTTGGTATTTGCAAAATCCGTATCAAGACATTGGATCAATGCTGTCTTCACTGTTTAAGCAGTAGACTTATTTTGGCAGTGGAGGGGATACTGTATTTTTAAAAATGTACCCCTCAATAGCAGTCAAGGCCCAACATTTTCATATCGTGGTCTGCTTGGTTCTACCTCTGTTTGCTTCAGTTCCCTGAACATTCTCACTTGTGCAATATGCTTCTGGTACGTTCTCCCAGTGTACAAAATCCTCCTGAAAACTGAAAGCTTGAGAAAATGTTATTTTACTGGTAATTTTGAGTGAATCACACTGCGGTACAGAAACAAACAATGGAGAATAAGGAACGGTAAAATTTTGAAAGTTCATTGGTTAACAGTAAAATAATCGACCGCATGATCATCTTCCCGAGGATCCCTTATCGGTCTTGTCCAGTTCAACTGTATTGGGGGGGTTGAAAGATAAGAAAAAAGACTTTAGTTTCGTTGTGAGGTCTCTGGATTCCTCAAATACATTTCAAGTTCCGTTACCTTTCCAGTATACCTTACGCTCGTCCAACTGACGACACTGGGGCGCTTTGATGCCACTATCCTTGCAGTGGTGTTTCTGTCAATGGTGATGTTTACCGCAGAATCACAACAGCTGCCGTAATTCTAGACTCCCTACTCTTAGCACAACCAACAAGAAGTCAAGACTGCGCCATAAACCTGGAACTCTTGTCTAGAAGTTCTTATCGACACACACAAAACTGGAATAAAAAGTGATTTCGTGTTATGAGCCTTCAACTTGAACGTTCCTACTGACTATTAGAACGTTTTCACATTTTGTGATGGAGTTCGAGTGGAACTCAGTACCTTTGGTCGCATTTTGAGAATTTGATGTGGTAAGCTGTCTGATGTGGTTGCAGGGTGTTGGAGGATTGGTAGCTGGAATGCACTCATTGTTAGTTAACCAAGTGGTTGTTGATATGCCAAGTGAGCTTAGCAGTTCACTTTCACTGCCATCTTGCGAAAACTTTGCTTAATAGAACTCATGGATATTTATCTATCTAGCATAGGAGCCGCCGGAATATTGTTCGACACCATGGACCTGAACGCTTGGCTTGACGCTCACACTGCTGGAATGTGGGCTGCCAGCACGCTTTTTGTGGAAGTCATAAATAACTTACTGCTCACCACTGTTTTTCTTAATAAAATGAACGCTTTTTTACTCCCTCGTTCCCACTCTCCCACTCGTATCTGCCACTAAACCGGAAAATTTTATCAATCAGCACATACAGACACGTTTCCCATAAGCATGTTCACAAGTCCCCGGATTTGGTAGGTGGACATGTTCAGTCGGTGCGTTCAAATCCGTCTATGTATATTTATAACTCGACTTATGCTTACTTAACAGGTTTATGGAAGCACTTTTGGTAATTCAGTAGACTTACACTTCAAAACGGAACCGATAGAGTAAACACAAAATGAAACGAGGAATTCCAGAGGTCGAAGCTGAAGATTCTGATAGGGGATATGGTTTCAAATAGTTAACTCTAGAAAGCAGCCTTAAACGGGTTAAGCGCCTCATTGGCACTCATCAGAATCTTTCTTTGCGGATAGTTATTCTTGCTGCTCGTAGTACAAAGAAAGACAAATGTGTTGTTCTCTGAGTGGGAGAAAATGCCATCAGTTATGAAAGATCAGAAATGGGTCTTATTACGCAAAGACCTCATCTGAGGCTATCGTGCATAGATTGCTACAATTCACGACATAGGAAGGAGCTAATGGCCGTCGCGCTGTCGAGATAAATTAAATTTAATGTACCGAAAGTTTTGGAAGTTTACATAGGAAGCCAAGAGCGATTTCTATCAAGCAGCCCCTAGAAAATGAAGCCAAACACGTGTATATCAACCTGGATCCATACAGAACCGGGCAATCGCAGTGACTGGGGGAGTTGCGCTTCGACAGCTCATTCGAATATTTGACGCCAAGAATTCTTCGGCCACGTGAGCCATGCACGCACGTCCACTGCTGATACACACTAGCACATATTCAGTTTATCCAAATGGCGACAGGAAATTGATACCAATTGTCGTTTTTAGTTAGATAGGACGCTCTACTTATCGGCAGATGAAAGAGCAACTGAATCAAACTCGTCTACCTGTCATTGTTTTTTCTTCTTAACAGAAATTTCGGAGTTTAGCTAAGTGTTACACTGATCTGCCTCACGCAACCATACGCTCATCGGTTGGCCTAAAATACATCAACGGTTTAAGAGCTGACAGAAACAGTAACCATTTTCGGGCAAGTTTGGGAAACAATCGAAACAATCAAGACAAGCGACTAGGCTAAGAGGTTGTTGAGATTTGCAGCGGAAGAAGATTCAGTAAGTGACCAGTAGACATGGTCCAAATGAAATTCAGAGGTGAAATGCCTCGAATATCTGAAGATAACATTAAAGTCACAGCCATCATAGCCGTATAGGATATCATTTGAACACTAATTCTTCATTAATGTTTGCTTTGCAAAAATCGCTTGGTCCCTATGGGCCCGTTAGTGGTAGATCCATTAGTTGCTCAGAGTGCACTAATATATTAAATAAAGCATCTTATGGTGGGAATGTATTTCTGTTAAACGAAATGACTGGTCACATTCTAATGGAATTCCACATTTTGGGCATCTGCGAGAGTTCGCCAACGCACTATTTTCTTTTGAGTGGTGCTTGAGTTTCTTCTCCGTCGCCATAATAGTTTCTTATGTACTAAATAAAAATACCAATACTTTTTGAACCACGTGAATCTAGTTCGATACTTGTAAGCAATTTTTGGGTTGCACAACAAGGAATTCTCGAATACCACGACACTTACGTTTTATCAACGTTCGTGCGGCGAATATTCGCAGTTCCGTCATCGACAGACTGTTCCCATACATCTGATACTTGTGATTACCAAATCGGCACCCTGTACGGAAAAGTCATAAAGAACTGACGGGGAAGCGTACGTTTCACGGGGTTGAATGTGAAGTGATGGATGGAGTGAACAAGAGGGAATCCTCGACTGGTTCGTTGATCAATGAACTCTAGCTGGGAAAGTTTGAGAATTGAACCCATACCCACGGTTTAAACTAACTAAAGGATGTGGATTGACCTCAGGATCTTCAGCGTGCAATGTGCTGAAAAGTAATCCATCCACGTTTGTAGATTTTAAGTGCCGTGAAAGGTACTAATGTTGATATTATCTTTCCTCTTTATAGTTTCTCAAAGATACGCTACAGATGCTCCATCCAAGTGGTCCAGTTTGACCTGAAACTCTCGTGTTCGCTGTCCCGGGAAGTTTGATTGTAAATATTTCCCGACTGAGTCAAATGACATCGTCAGTGCTCACTGTACAAACCAACAAGAATATCCTGAGCTAACAAAGTTCCTCTTAACAGCAATCCTTCCATGTTTCGACCGTGGTGAATCAACTGGTGTCTGACTTTATGAATCTGTACTACTCCATAAATCTTAGTAGAATATCATAAACCAGTGGTTTTAGTCACCTCAAGTGACTACAACTCTTGGAACATCGTAGAAATTCCATTAAGCATATACCGAATTTCTTGTGGTCTTAAGAGTAGCAAACTGCTATGAAAAAATATTTATGCAATATTAAGGTATCACCGTTCTCTGGAGAGCTATGCTGCATGAGGTATTTCGACCTTATTGGTGTTGATCGGGTGGGTGTAGATAGGAACGGGCTGGTGACCCTTTGCCTATCCAGTTATGAAATGTGGACCTCAGTCCATGCGTCCACCGATCACTCTGGGACAGCAAGTGGTTTGATGTGTACAGTGTGAATTTTGGCACGACAATGGTTATAAATACGGTTTCTATGTGCGTACCATATTAGTGATTACTGCAATAAGTAGGTGGGTAGCAAATTGCATGATTTATTGCTTTTCGTCATCCATAGACAGTTGCCCACGTGAGAGCGATTAGCCAGATTACACAACCACGTTGTAGTCGATTAGTCTTCAGCGGCCATTAACCCTGCGTGTGTCCTGTATTAGGTAATATAAGATGGTTTGGAGCACGAATATACCTCACACCACTGCTAGGTTAGATGCATTCATGGGAGACGCGATTCCGAACCAAGCATAAATCTTGGAATTAGAGTCTTACCAGACGGATAGGCAGCAGCTGGTTGAAAAACACTGATAATAAACAGCTGAGTGATGTTACCATGCAAACGGATTACATCAGAGTCAACAAGCATATTGCTTCACAACCTCCTGGAGTTTCTGGAAATCCAATAAATTTGCGTTGACCTTTAGGTCCAAAACTGTCAAGCGAAAATGTTAAACTGTACAGTCCTGGTTTTCAGACGGTGATTTCAATCAACGGATGACTGACAGAAACAGGAATGTTAGTTTGGGCAGTGTGTGTACCAGGGAAAAATCCAAAGCACACAGCATCCGTTAAATAATGGGAAGTCTATTAGGGAACTGATCTATTCACCTTAGCCATCGGTAACCCTGGAATAAAGCAGTGATTGACAGTGAAAAATGCGCGCATTTGTGTGCACGCTGCCCATGACAAAATGGGATAACCTTAGGCTAAAGCTACTTGTCCTATACTCTATCTCGATAGTATACCTCTAGCAACCATGCAGTTGTACGAATCGCCATAGTTTTACAGTTATGCACATCCTATCCAAAGACCATATCACGAAGCTGCCGAATTAGCTCGTTTCTTTGTCCCACAGTAGATGGGCGCTGCGGTTTGATAACCAGAACTGCATGGTTAATGTTTATGTTGATGAAAGTTCTTGTGAATTCTTCATGCACCTCTCGAATGTCCCCTCTTGTCTGACATTAGTTCGGCAGTCGCCCGAATGAGTATGAGCCGACTTCTAAGGTGAACTGAATCACTTCACTTCAATGCATAGTTCCTTTACTCTCTCGCGAGGGTGGTCAGTGGACAGAGGTCTGAAAGATAGTCCCCTGGCCCTCCAAGTCATGGTTTGGAAAAATTGTGGCAGGTTATTTCCCAAAACTTGGGCTAATCAAGTAGTCTGAAGCTAAACATTACTTCCTTGAGGCCAGGCTTTTGAGCCCGAAGCGTTGAGTAAGGATACTAATCGTCTCCTTGTCTAGGTTTGGGCGCCCTGGCAGTATCAGGCCAAAAGAGGCTGTGAATTTTACACATGAAAGTTTCTTCATACCACATCCCCTGTCGTGCGGTGAAATCAGTCAGGTCGCCTTATACGTGGCACGTAACAAAGTGGATAGGCAAAATTAGCGTACTGCTGGCGTCTCCCAACACTGCCTTGTCGTCTCCCAACTTCTGTTATATTGATGGACGTCCCCTGAGGAAGAACGGTTTAGGAAAGGTTGCCCCTAAAACCGCACACTCCGGATGGCCGTGACCGCCGGCACATTATTCACCGAGATCGGGAATATTTTGAAACTAGAGATCCCTATGCTGCTCAAAATGCACCTGCGGTAAGCAGCAGCGTTGAGAGTCAGTCAGTATTGCCTTTCTCTCTGAGCCCTTGTGTTATGTCGACCTTCTTAAGCCGAGCACGTTGGACACTTCAGTCGGTTGGCAACCAATGAAACTCTGAAACTCGAATATACTCCCTATAAGGTTGTTCCGCACAAGACGTCCTCTATCCACGCGCAACTGGCGCTTCCGTTTATGCACCAACGGACTTTAGTTCCAATTCACCGAGAGATACCTTCTTTTGAAGACTGACCACCCTTTTGTCCACCGCGAAGACCTCCGATATGGTCATAGTTCCAGGAGAGTTTAAGTGAGACGCCTCAGTTGATCACAAGCATGACTCAGTGGTATATTTAGCTCGAATGCGAAATACAATTATAGTGGTCAGCATCTTGTGACACTCTACTGATCACCAGCTGTTTCTCAGCAGTGCCGTGTTTATCCACTGTAGGTACCGTTGTGCCACTCGGAATCCCACCACAGTGGGCAGCCATGGAACCGAAATGCACACTTCGTTAATGAATACCTATGGCGTTGCTCAGTCCTTGATTACAGATCCTATTGGAATAAGTAGGTTTACATCCTTATTCGATGCAGATGTCCAATAAACTTTACCAGGACGAGAAACGAGCACCCCATTTAAGAAACGAGCACCCCATTTAGCACTCAAAAGCTTTGTGGACCACAAGTCGGGGAAACATACCAGTATCTGCAATGCAACGCGCTGAAGACAGTCTCCTCATACGGCGTTAACCATGACGGGAGTGAGACAACCACAATTATACGTGACTCCAACAAATCGGCCTCTGTTACACCCGGGCGCGTACAGCGAAGTTATACCTCCCCTCAATCTCAGAGTAAAATTCGGCTAGACGGTCGATTGGATGACAACCTAAACGTAGCCTGTGTTTGGACATAGAGATGTGGGAAACTACAATGTTCAGGGAGTAGAAGACAGTTTGGCTAAGAATATGCGGACATTGTTCACACTACTCCGCAAAACATAGTCAGTCTAGATCACCGGGCAGGATGTTTCAGCAACAGTTTAATTTTCTTGGAGGAACACTACTAATAAGGTTGTTGGAAGCTCTTCAACACCCTACGACCGGTTTTGCCCTTTTTTGGGCCCATCATATAGGCACAGTTTCCCCCGGTTCCGTCAGCCTCATGTTCTACTTGAACGCAAATTGTACTAAATTCTTAAACTACACTTACTTCCACGCCACTCTGGTTTTTGCGATGCACTCAGTTGTGCCTGTGCTCCTGTGCCTGTTTATTTCATTCTACTTGATTATTTTGGGCCATGGTCTGTTAGTTTAGATTCCTCTCAGTTGATAACTATGCTTTCTACCTTGAAGCACCATAGGGCTGCTGGGACATACGAACTTTCCCTAACCTTTTTTAGAGAAGGAAAAGAATCTTTGTGTTCTGCATGGATTATGTTATTCCTAAGTAGTTGGGAACAAGAAAAAGCTTAAGGGGATTGAGATCGTATGCGTGTTAAAAAAGTATCCGAATAAACTGTTCCTACCATAATGACATAGGCCTCATGCTTGTCGTAACATGACCACTGGCTTCCCTTGTATTGTGTAGGCTATCTTCGGCACGTGAGTGACAGGTCGGTGAGCATCAATGAGGGCTCTGACCTGACGGAATGTGAAGCGATCATATCTGTGCATTATGTCAGGTGCCTAAACAGAATCATGTTTACCGCCGAGCAGCAGTGGTGGTTTTCTCCGACTTTGACTCTTCCAAATATTCCTGACCAGAAATGAATGCTCACGAGGTTCATGAACATTGTTTGTGCACTGTATTTACATACCTTTAGTCCAGAAGCCTCCTGATAACTAGTCGAGTTCGTCATATCTATCCCCTGTCTTCTTTATTGCTCAGCTTTGTCACCCAAGCTACCATGGAGTGTGCAATCCAAGGAACACTGAATTTTTGTTTTCATGTCAGCAGAGAAAGATCACCCGAGTGCACTGGCGATCTCTCCTCAACCGGTGAGAAAACGTTTGCAACCCATTTGCCAGATTCAGGAAATAGATCAACGTCTACACGATTATCTATCGTTAAATGCATCCGAGTTACTAATATTCCCAGAAACTCCCGAAACTGGCGTCGATTGTCAGCCATAGGTCTCCCAGGAAGATCGCAATGATCGAGTTTGACGAATTTCCTTATAATATAGTTTTAGCTGATGAAGCCTATTCTGAGGATATGTACGTTTGGTAATTTAGAAATCCCCATGGTGATGGTGGCACTGGAGCATGGGGATTTTTTCAGGCTGGTTTTCCTTCGACGCTTTCGTACTCCAAGGCGTAGCCAATGTGAAATGTTCAGGTGGATTCTCCCGAACAGTGGCTTATATTTGAGGCTGTCTTGAGGATTCTTTTTGGGCTCAGTCATTTCGGGTTTATGGTTAGCAACCGATCAAACCATTCTAATCCAGCTGAAAACCTGACATTTCTCCGGGACTTACTGCTCCGTTTTATGTACATCACGCTTATTAAAACTTCCTGCAACTTAACCTATTCTCTATCGGATCTGTTCCTCATAACTAACAAGCAGATTGAAAAGTGGATAATTTGAATCCAGTGATTCCCCCATGAGTGGGGTGGCGCTGAACGCTCGTTTACATCTTTCAAGAGCATCAACAGTGTTGAGAACGGTCCTTACCAGAAGACTAACTGTGGTCGCTTCCAGCCCAAAGAGCACAAACATTGTGGAACGTTCTTCTACTGGCCATTCTGCCAAACTAAACACACAATACTAAATGATGCTTGCTGTAAAAGATTCAAATTATCAAGAAAGAACTAAAGATAAACCGCCAAGTCAGTGAATACACGACATGGAGTTGTTCAGGCTGTTTGGATTTCATAACAATCAGTTGGAACGTTACACAACTAATGGTGAGATCGGAAAACGGCATCGTGCAGATGACTGGCATAGTGTATTACAAGGTTGCGAAACAAGTAATTCAGTCCTACCCGGATACGCTAGTTTAAACCGGAATTTTCAGTCGGTCATTCATGGAGGGCAGTAGTTGTATCTGTAGCGGTAGCCGAGTACCGTTTACTGAGTTTTTACTACATAAAATACTGAACAGTTTTTGATAAGACTGTTTTCAGTCCATAAATCGCATTACCTCTGGTTCAAGATGGCCTTAGAGACAGTTCTTTTAAAGTATTATCGGGTGTATGTAAAAAAAGTAATCTACTACTAACATGGATATTAAAAAGCGAGAGATTTTCGAAGGGACATCAGGACAGCACGTACCTGCGACCATGTCATCAGTCGCCAATGGGTCCGCAAATTTGGAGAGATACCCCGAGTGTGTCAAATCGTCCACAATAACCCAGTGAATTTTATCCCCAAAGGGTTTGATCACGTTGTCGGATATATCGGTGGCGAGCTTCCGAAGCGCTGATCATCCGGAAGGATGAATAATGAATTAATCACAGAAAACGATGTGGTGACTTGCTACTTGAAGACAGACAAACTTTCCGAGCACAATGAGCTATTAGATGTCTACAAGCATATACAGAAGTACCGTTTATTTTCATCTTCGAGCAACAAAGTGCATGGAAACGGAGAACAGTGGGCAATGGGTTGTAAGGTTTTATGCAAACTAAGGAGAAATTATGGGTGTGCTGTCCATTAGTGAGCAAGTTTGAAAAGCGATCTGTGATCCGTGAAAAGGCGTCAGTAAGTAATTCAGTGATTGCGATAATAACAATATTAATAGAAGTGCACGGCTCCCATGCAAGTCCATGTACGATACTTATATACTGCCGGGTTGCCAAAGCCTAGACAGGAACCATCGAAAAATAGGATTGGGTTCGAACCACGAATCTCCCGGTCAATGGTTTATTGCCTTGGACACTGAGGTATCTGGAGCCAAGACAAGTGGGTTTGCAGAAGTACAGTGCATCTGCGGTCTGTGCTTTTTTGGTTCTTTCAGGGAAATGACGGCGACTGGGGGAAATTGATAATGTGTATTCTTTTTAAAATTATTCCCTTTACTCTGGTCATCTTTCCTTTCCTATGCATTGAACAAACATAGTGGCTGTATGGCACCGAAACAGCGGTTTTTAGAATTGGAGTCATTTCCTGCGTTAGTAAGCAAATACTCTTACTGACCTGTTCAAGGAGCACTTGCTACTCCGACTTACATCGACTTTTTCGCATCGACTTTTTCTGTGCTCTAACAGCATCCAGCCAAACTTTGTACCAAGGCTTCGAAGCCCGTGGTAAAGATTCGGATACATGAGCGCATGGTATAAAAGTCTGTTTTTTCTCTATTACTGCGGCACCAAAATGTGCCGCGGTTCGGTATGCCACAAGAAATTGTGACTGCTAGTCCGGCCAAGCATCGATCATTTCGTGGAGAATTAAAGTTGTTCATGAAACTGCCTGGGAAAGAGTAATCTGCATGGCATAGTGTGTGGCAGATGAACTATAAGGATATACTTTAGCGCAACATTCAGTTTAACACTGAAGTAGTCTGAAGTGAACGGATAGGCGAATTCTCGTGGGTATTTAAATAAATGCGCATGAAAACTAGCTGAAATTAGCTGAAAACCACTGGATTCAAATTGTTTTACCAGTCCCACTCCTTGTTCCACATTCTATCGACTACAAATTTTCCCGTAACAAAAATTCTGGGCTTAAGAACATTCTCTACTGAGTGTCGCCATATTTGTAGTTCGTTAAAGTAACAATATATGGAACTACTCACTTTGTGTTGACAAAAATAGAAAAGAATAATCAGTCATATTAAAAGAAAGCATTTTGCCGATTGGCATAGGTCGTAAACGGACTAATCAGAACCGAGAAAAACTCCCGGAAAGACTCGTAAAAAGCACAAAGTCGCAAGCAGACGAATTAACTTTCGAGCAAACTACTATGTTGGGCAATAATCAGTATCATGTGTTTTTTAAAACTGCATGAACGCAAACGCGAAATGGTGAATTACCCACCCAATCGCAAACAGGTGGCCTCCTTGACTGGTTACCGACGGTTCACAAGCAATCTGGCAATCCACCTAAACAGGTGAACTCTCGGAACAGTGCAACACCTGGTTGCCAACGTCCACGGTAGATCAAAACTCTGGAAATGCTCGCATCCAACTAAAAATATAGAGGAAGCATGGACGAGCCCCGTGACACCCAATGCAACAAGTTGGGTTTTTCGGAGTGTACTGCTCACCGCTTTACTCAAAACCCAAGATCAATAACTGTAAATCTTCGGCGTCCATCTCATGATGATATACCAATAAGACAAAGACTGTTTCCTATGTTGCAATAATACATGCCATACGATGATTTTCCTCTACAGAGACTCGCTATCAGGTGTGGAGAGATAGTTAGCAGCTTTTAGCTGATAACCGTGGATATCTGAACGCGTCGTGCATTTGGCTGTTTTGTTTCGGTCAGAAAGCCATCCTGACCAATTTTCTGTCCCAAGGAGGAAAGAACTGCTCGTTGAGAACGTTACTCGCTCATTTCTATTCAACAAACCATCCATATTTCGATATTCTTCACAAGCCTGAGTGCGAAGAGCCAGAGATGTGGAAAAGAAAACACGGGTACTTTTAGAATTTCATCTTTCTAATTACACATTGCAACTCACCATTGTTGGCCTCCTTGTAAAGACTAAGCGGATACGGAACAACACATAACAATCGGTCTTCGTTCATGTCATACAGAGCATTGGTGGTGCCACTGTACAGACCGATCACGGGTAGTTGTTCGTGTGCCAACTGCTTTGCCAGATTAAGTTCATCAAGGCTGTCATTCAGATACAACTGAATGAAGAGATGGAAACGTCAGTATGAATTTTATCAGGTCGTTCGTACATACCTGTGAATACATCGGCTGATCTCCTGGTAAAAATTTGGTTTAGCGTCGAAATACCTAAGTTTTAAACACTGGAAATTTGTGCTAGTGTGCAATTTCTGTTCTATCCGGAGAAAAGACCTGAATACACCCCAGCATCTTTTCTTAGAGTTTTAGCCTTTTTACTGTTTGAAACACAGCCATCAGACTTTCTGGATAGCTTTAAGACGCTATGCGTCCATCTTTCTCATTAGACTCTACCGATTTCATAGAATTGTACTGAGTGAGCACCTCTAACACCTATTCAGCATCAAATCCGCAGCACAGGCATTTTAGCTACACATGCTTTTTGGGAGTGAAGTGTTCATTTTGTGGAGTAAAAATGAATTCCGTCAAAGTATAAACTGTTGTTCCTTTTATGATTTACCTGTATCCAACTTCACCGTACCAGATTTCTGTGTAATGAGTGATGTAACTCTTTTCTACCAACCTGTCAAGTACCTCGTCAAAAAAGTTAGCTGCTAGCTTCTTGTATGGACGCGAAGACATCACCCAGCAGATGAGATGAACCTAATTTTACGGACGGAATCACCGACAGCAAACTAGGATTATCAACATACAAGTTACAAACGAAGCTGTGGAAGCGGTCATCACCCAGCAGATGAGATGAACCTAATTCTACGGACGGAATCACCGACAGCAAACTAGCATTATCAACATACAAATTACAGACGAAGCTGTGGAAGCGGCTGCTTTTGAGCGCGGTAGAACTGCAAGTACACATTGTTAGAAAACTTCACGGTGCTTCTTAAATGGGAAAACGTCACGTCAATAAACTTCATTGTTTTCTGTGAACACAGTAGTTATAGATAAACAGCACCATCTCGGGAACTTCAGCTAGATAAACTTCATTGTTTTCTGTGAACACAGTAGTTATAGATGAACAGAACCATCCCGGGAACTTCAGCTAGAGATAGTCAGCAAAATACGTTCAGTCTAGTAGTGGATGTAGGTGATCTACTGTATACATCAATCGAAAGAGTTGTCCGGAAGTCGTACTCGTAAAACAAGCATTCTAGTTCTGATTTGGCTCCGAAATGCCACAGCACCCGAAATATAAAAACGGGTACTAAAGCACAAACTTAGAGATCTGAGCAAAATACGTTCAACCTAGTAGTGGATGTAGGTGATCTACTGTATACATCAATCGAAAGAGTTGTCCGGAAGTCGTACTCGTAAAACAAGCATTCTAGTTCTGATTTGGCTCCGAAATGCCACAGCACCCGAAATATAAAACGGGTACTAAAGCACTTTCAGTTTACTGACAAACTTGAGAGATCTGAAAATGTCACATTATCCAGTCCAACAGGATTTCGAACGTTTCACTTTTCAACGCCACAGAATTCCTAATCCAAACCATGTGTTTCCATTACCTATATGTCAAATTCTGGATGCTCGTGAGTAATTTCGACATCCAGGTTCAACCGTGAGACTGAGATCATTGTAACAAAGCATTCTGTGTTTCAAAGCATCTGCACCAGATTCAGGGCGAATGAAGTTTGAGAATTTTGTGTATCTTATTGATTAGTGTAGCAGCCTCAACACAGCTCGCACGCACAAAACTAAATTTCACTAACGTTGACGCCAGTTGATGAACGTTTTGTTTTCATGGCGATTATGACTGTTTTCCGGGGTGACCGAAAAGTGTGTCCGTAAAGCGTCGTTTGTAATCGTAGTTTTATTCGCCAAAGACTAAGTTATTTTTGTCAGTGACCTTGCAATATATTATTGCGTATTATACTTATCACCATGTGCAAGGCACTGTCACGTGAGCAAGCGTAATGGATCTATTTCTACGGGATCTCACTGCATGAAGCTAACTTATCCAGTTATCCATGAAAGTTGTCCAAAATACAAACTGGTGAAAGCGTTTCTTTCTCACGGGTCTTGCTGATCATTTGTTTGTTTCTTCCGCAGTCGTATGAATATACATTTCGCTTAATCATCGTGGTTTCTTTTTATCATCGCAACAAAATGTCAGTAGTAACGCTGGTGCTTAGCTGTTATACAACCATGAGGAACAGTGATCCTGTGAAGGACGGAAGGAAAACTTGAGAGGAGAGGCCTAGTACAAAAAGCCCTGTCCCCATAGAGAAGGCTGAAGACACCTAAACTTAAACACAAGTGGGACAAATGTGTCTCAACCTTGCCGCCTTTGTTTAACATCTCCACGTAACAACCTGCCTACCGTGAACATTTGACATGCAAGGGCCAGAAGTTGAAAATGGTCTTTTCCTTGGCAAACGGTGGTATACCATACACGGTATACGCCCCATCCTTACTGTTCCCGTGAACTCAATTCATCATTCCAACACTTTCCACGGTAAGAGTTCACTAATATTCAGACTACGGAGGTCGTTTTGAAGTCTTCGGTTAAGATGAGCTGAACTCAATTCATCATTCCAACACTTTCCAAGGTAAGAATTCACCGATATTCAGACTACGGACATTCACATTCATAGAGTAAGACTGTCCTCAAAGTCATTTTCTACACATTGAGCTTCCGTGAACTTGTTTTCCGACATAAATGGCACGTGTTTGCAAGAGGTCTTGATAATTTATACATTCAGCTATTCTGTCGCAGTACTGTAATGTGACAGCTTCCGTAAGTATACAGATAAGTAAGCTAATCTACAGACTCAAACTTTTTCCCGGAAATTTCAGTGGGACACAAATCTTTGAGCAATACCTTCCACTGCAGATGCAAAATGTGCACACCATCACAAGTGTTCCATTCAAAAATTTGGTTTATGTTGGTTAATGGTCTTCAGATAATACAAGGTCGCCTACATAGCTCGTGCCTGCTAGCCTTTCCTTAGGGTATGGCTTTAATACCTTCGGTCCCGTGGAATAGGTAATTCATGATAAAATCGATGGCAAGACTGAACATGAGAGAGCAAACCACAAAAACCTGAAAGTGCGGAATATGATCACATGGTATTTGATAGAGGCAAAAAAGTTCATCTCTGTTTCCAGTGTTACTGATACCTCAAGCGGCACTGTTTCCCATAAAGTTCGCTTGAAAATGATCTACTATAATCCATCCGTGGCTTTACTTTGACCAGTCAGGCCATTTTCAAGATGTTCTCGCCTATATTAAAGCGTTTGCGTCACTTTCCGCTGGGTGCTCCCTTTCACTCTTCCAAACCTAACGAGGACGGTAATCTGTCCAGCCCTAACCAGTGAGGCAGCGAACGTGTATTTTGGCTCTGGTTGTGTAAATGGGCTAGGTTCAAATACTGCAGTAACAGCTGTACTTTACTTGAACATCCCAATCAAAAATCCACTAAGTTATCACGGGACGGCGACTGCTTACAAATCCACTGGATGTATTTGTATGACATTCTAAAAACGTGACTGGATATTACGGTTAATATGACAAAAGTGCTATGCGAACTCGTTGCAAGATCATTCATTGTGCCTAAAATACAGACATTCTTGCTAAAACAGATACATTGTCCGAACTCACCAACCCTGTCAAAATAGAAATTATGGTTTCATGGTCGTTGGTTTGTTCACTGAGCTGGGCAATCTTATTGCAAACTTTTCATCACCAATCGAGATGAAAGCATCAGTGCGTTGTTAGACAGCGTAGCAGTCAAATTGTTCAGCTCAGAGAACAAACACCACCATCTATGCTACCTGAGCTATCAAAATTTGCTTCTACGATGATTCCATGATTGTACGTACACAGATGCTTGTATTAACGCCCCTCGGATCCAGTCGAGTAAGGGACATCCCATCCACTCTTTACAACGGAGTTCTACTAATCAGTGCGTTTGGTCACACTGAAATCTGTTGACTTCGTACACTTGGTATCACATGAGCTATTATAATATTTTTAGTGAATCTGAAATATTTCGCTTTCAGCCGAGGTGTGGTACTCAGAACCTGTTATGTGCACTTCCCCCTGATAACCTTGCAGCTAATCGATGGTATCACTTGTGAGATAAGAGAGTCGCGTAGCAGATCTAAACAAGATAGGGCAAAATCAGTTAGCAGATTTTCTAACCGTTCACTCACTCAAAATACTGAGCGGTTATGTCATTCGCCAAACGCTCCATTGTTTGGTAGGAACCTAATTAAACACTGAATGGGATTAATTATTTATCACTTAAGAACGCGGGGAACATAAAAAACGTCCGGCACTGGATTTTATCATCGAAAAAACGAGAGGCGAGACAATTGGAGTGATTGTCACTCAATCTGAAGTATGGGAATAAGTCTATCAGAAGTATTGGATTGCTTTCAACTGGAAACAGTCTGTCATTTCCCTAGTTTCGTCGCCTCGGAGTCCATAAAACGATAAATGGGGTAAACACAATATGGATAGATTTTCCGGTCTCAAGAGAGACGACAGCCCATAAGGCTCCCAGAAAAAACACATCCGGTGTTGTGCCCTGAATTCATTGATTGCTCGTGAGTCAACACTTTTCGTCTATGTGAGACGTAAGTACTAGAAAATTAGATTGTTTACAACGGGAGTTAAGGAAAAACGAATAAGTGATCTCCCACTGCCTGGAACATATTACAGAATGAGCTGCAGTGTTCATTATAGAGAGGGTGTGCATTTTGCACGGTGTGCGGGTAATGGAACTAAGGAGACGATCCACATGCAGTGTATGCTTTGCAGCACAAGTGAATTATTGCCACTCTGAGGATATCACGCCAAGAAAGACCACAGATTTCAGCAGCAAATCAGATGACAGGCGCGGCAGAGAACGAATACCAGACTGCGAAACCATGGCACTACACCATTTGTTAAATTCATATACACACATGTCCTGCGGTTCAAGGCCAGAAATAATCGACAAACTAACTATCTACCTTCTCCTACGTCGCGAAACTATCTGCAGTTGCACACTAGTATGTCAGGCGCAAAAAATAATCAGTATCGTTTTCGAGAAAGTTTGGTGATAATCGGCAGATTTATTGCTGGGCAACGTTTCGCTTTTGACACTAAAGCTTCGCCAGGCCTAGATTCCGAGGGTGACCGAGATTCAAGGCGGAAGGAGAAACAATCAATTAAGTCAAGCTAAATCTCTGTTGGGTGTGGGCCGAGGGATGTTCGTATGTTAGGGTGGGTGAAAAAGTGTTGGATCGACGGAGAAACCTACGTGTGTTTGGATCCAGCCTAGAGTCTAGTTCTTCTGGTTCGGCCAATCTGATGGTCCCTCTTGAACGTCGTCTGAACTTTCTGTCCGTCTGTGTGGATGAGCTAGTGCTAAGGCAGTTGTGTAAGAGGGATGCTGTGACCTCTAGTCGGACTATTATTTTCCACCCTCATCCCCCAGTTTTTGCTAATGATTCTACGTGAATTGACACCCACGAAACGCTTGGGTGCTGTCGGTGCTACTCGCCTTCCAAGATGGAGATCGCGTGATCCTCAGTGTGCCTGGTTGGAGACACTACAAGATATGGCTGCCAACCGATGTCAGTGGCGTTCTTGTCAGTTTCTATCCAGATCGCCTGAGTGACTGTCTGGAGGTATAGGTACCTCGGAATGCTTGTGGTAAGCTGGCACCAAGTCCCTTCCCCGTCCTTTTTTATTCTTACCTTCACAACAAGGCTTTCAAATGAATCATGGTTGTACGGCAGTGAAGCATCGGTGTTGAACACTGATGTCATGCTGTCGATGAGGATGACGATGGTGACACCTTAAATCTCGACCAACCTCGGAACCTGGTCACTTGGCCTGACGAAGCTTTTGTGTCAAAGGCGAAACCTTGCCCAGCAATAAATCTACTGATTGTTACCAAAATTCTTCGAAAACAATGACCACTCAGTCGGTTCCAAGTATTTTTCACCTGATTGAATAATCACTATCCTTGTGTTCTAGTTAATCCGGCCCGTCTCCATCACTCGTATTGGAGAACCTTGAAGTTTAGCTTTATAAGAGTGGCATAAATCGGCATTCAGCGTTCATTCATTTCATCGTGAGGTTTTTGGCTCTTATTTTATGGACGGATTTTATGATATAAAGGACCCAGTTTGATGGAAAGCGCCATACTGACACCACCAAATTTGCGTGGGACGCGAGGGTGAAACTGAGAGCATCGCAGATACCGGAGCATATAGTTACCTTTGTCACATTGATAACCGGTGGTTGTGCTGTTCCAGCGAGCCGTGATGGGCTCAGCAAAAGAGCCGCAAAGTCCATTTCGGTCAGACCAAACGCCTGTCTTACGGATACGGACTTGGTAGCCATTGGCTTGGCGGTAGCTGAGACCACATGAGCTGTTATGAGAGGGTTGTGGACAAATGGCAGAAAGGAAAAGAGAAAGGCCAGAGAGGTAACTTCTTCTGCTTCAGTGAATTCAAATATATTGTGCATAGTGTTTGGATGCAACGAAATACGTCAAACGCAATTACTCGGTAACCACGTCCTCATTTCAGCTTTATGGTGCAAAAAACGTACTAATTCGGCTACGTCTTCGGTTATTTTTGGGCTTTCAGTACCAGTGTAATCTGAAAACTTGACCCCGACCCAAGATACTCGCAACAACGTGGATTTTCTGTAAATTGAAGGACAAATTTTGGCCGTTTGACGAATCGGTTGTGCTCTAAGTAGTGAGGGCGTATGGGATCAAGAAGCAAGTTGCCCAAAGCTACGTACGCATGCAACGATAAAATGAGGTTATTAGGAAACAACAGGACAAATTAATGGAGTATTTGGGTTCTTGTCGAGGGATAGCATTCTTTACCCTGGCTGTTGAAGATCCTCTTCCAATAGGTGACATCTCTCCGTGGTTGTCATTCTAAGAGGATAGCTGTATGTGTTATGAATGTCACCAGGAAAAGAGTAAGCAAACAAACAAGGAAATAAGTAATTAAATAGCATCAGAATGGGATTGGTCAGTAAAACCATTGTGTCCCTGTGCATGGCTAAACTGCCATATACGGTTTGTTGCTGTCTACAAGCTGTTGATACCATTACAGACCTGGGGAAATAAGATCAGCGAGCAACCACAGGCATTTTGGAGGCCATCAGCTAGCCTAAGCATAATGGCTGCCCTTCTGTTGTAAACCTTGAAGCATCTTATTTTTAGCTGTGATTAAGGCCCCATTATATCCGAAGAGCAGTACTCCAACAGTTCTGCCACAGTTCTTGTTTTGTACACACAATCATGTATTTCTCTAGTGCAGCTTCGCGCGGTATGTCAAAAGACCCGTATAGTTTTTAATCTATCGTCCATCTTTGCATAAATGACCAAACTTTTTTCGGTCAAATCCGAACAGTGCGGAAATCCAAGTCAAAATATGTAAGAATGATACTAAGTGCATGTTCACTAAAACATTTCAGGCAAAACGGGAGCAGGCAGGTGACCAGATTCCGTTTTTAACTGCTATACCCGTCTTTTGACTACCTGCCTACCACACTAATCAAAGGGTATGGTATTTTGCATTTCGAAGTATCATCAATTACATTCGGTTCACCTTCAAGCAAGGCTTATTAGACACTAAAACATTTCAGGCAAAACGGGAGCAGGCAGGTGACCAGATTCCGTTTTTAACTGCTATACCCGTCTTTTGACTACCTGCCTACCACATTAATCCAAGGGTATGGTATTTTGCATTTCAAAGTATCATCAATTGCATTCGGTTTACCTTCAAGCAAGTGAGGCTTATTAGAGTGGAATATTATTTTTAATTACAGTTCATTCGTCTTGATCAAAACTCCTTCGCAAGTTGTGCTCTGAGAAAAACCCGTGGTTTATTCAAATTACATCAGGGACGATCAACAAGTCAGTGGACTGGAAAACAAATTTATTGAAGCTAAACTTACCCCATAGAACTTTGCCTGAGCTAGTTCCGGTTGATCCCCATACAGTGCTTCCGACAAAAGTGGAATCCTTCCGTAAATTAAAGCGAATGTGTTGAGGTTCACACCCAACTACTAAAGGGTTCTTTAAATCAGAACCAGTTGTTAGACACATCCAGTCCGAGCTCAGAAGCCATTCTTACGCTTTCTAACGGATTTGCTTGCTTCTGACACATCCAGTCCGAGCTCAGAAGCCATTATTGCTTGCTTCCCGGATAGAGTGTGGTAGATGTCAAATCTTGCGGGATGAAATGGTTTCCGATTTGGATGGTCCCGTTTGCCTGGTTTCCAACTGACCACTTATAGGAAACCAAGAAAGCATTTACAGCAACCATGTCACAATGAAGCGAATTCGATGGTTTAAGATGCGTGCTCTAAACAAGGGAATCCTCTCGACTTCCCCTGTATAGGCCCGAACAACCTGACAGTATCCCAGCCCTCGTGCTTCCTTTGGATGGCATGACAGCTACAGCCGAACGATTTTTCTTATCTAAACATCGCTTGGTCGTGCGAAACAGAGAGGTCGCCTTCGTCTCGCACTGGTGCAAACAGTGATCACAACTTTCCATATTCATATTAGGGAACAGTTGGAAAGGTCATTCCAAGATTTCGACGTCCCATTCCACGCCGTACACTTAACGATAGGCTTCTCTATAAGACTTATGGCTTTGCTTGCATAAAGCTGCGCCAACTAAAGAAACTTTGGATCCATTGAGGTGACTGGGAGCGAATTTTCGGTAGAATTTAATGTGAGTATTGCTGAAATGAGACTATTAACGAGTGGCAGTAAGAAACTGCGCAGACATTACAATTTATCCACTTTCTTGCTTAGCTTCAACCTGTCTTATCGACGTTTTGGGTCCCATTACCAAGCAAGATAATGTCACACGGTTTTTGTCCCAACTAAGCCAAAACGATGCAAAATTTCAATGTGTCGTTGCTGCGGATACAAACGCATTGCAAGTTTCAATGTCCAGATCAAAACAGCAGTGGAAAAGGTTACTAAAAACCTGTGGCCTCACTGGAGTTCAGCATAATATGAGGATGCATCGTTTCAATCACTGGGCTGATGACTTGTTTACACTGTCCGTGTACACATTTACTAGCATCTGCCGTCGATCATACTTGTCCGATTTCGCTCCACTACTTATGAGTCACCCAGTAGCAAAGAAAAATATTAGAAACCTAAAGCCATCGCTTTGGTGCTAATCGAACCCACCGGAACGGAAAAAAGCGAATGCACCCGGATGACTCTCTGACTTGTAGAGCGCCAGGACAATTGTGTCATCTGGTCTTCTTTTGAGTGCAATGTCATCCAGGCTATGCACGATTGTGTACCCAGGAGCTGCTTCTCGCTTCATTGCTTCGATGAACTCTACAAAAGGAAGACACATGATGTAAACTTGTATAAGTGTAAATACTATGACAAAATCTAGAATTCCCCCTTAAATCAACTGGACTGAATACGCTTTTAAAGACGATGAATGCCGCAGTTTAGCTCAATGGCCCGATAAACTGTTGAGCATAGGCCTGACTTGGAGTTCCCAGCCAAACTCGGCTCGCATCTTGTTAAACAGATTGAGTGCAAGATGGTGCAGAGTGCTAACGGCAACCGAAACGTCCCATTATAATTTATTATTCACTACACTGTGTTTTTACTTAATGCTTGCCACAGAGACTCGGTTTTTTTCATTTATTTTGTTGATGCTTAGCGGCGATGTTTTGTAAAGGTTATGGTGACTGCAACTGAATAGTACACTCGTCAATCTGACGAGATAACGGGATTTCAGTTCAAGAGCAGCTTTCATGGACACGGTTAAATTCAGTCGAAAACCGAATTCTCCACTTCAAGGTTTGGAGCACACGTTCTGAGGACAGTGTGTGCTCCTTAAAGCCATGAGAAAGTGGGTTATTCCGCCATTTAATATGTTCCTCCTACAAAATTAACAATTTTTATCGTCCCCGATTAGTTACGATTAATTAAGCCCTCTCCAAATGGGACAACGCTTAAACTAATATGGAATTTCATATGCTTAACTTTGTTCATCCTCCGTCTTGTCCAAATCTGCTGGTGAAATCCAAGAAAGGAAACAGCCCAAAGTAGTGTAAGACAGGTAGAAAGACTTCGACTAATGCACTTACATGCGTATCAATTTGGCTTTGAGGGGCGACGCATCTGAAGCCCGCTTGAATCGTTCGTTCTTCTCCAACTAAATATGCTGCACCAAACCACCTCATGTTTTATTTGGTGCAATATTTGAGAAGAAGCAGTATATCGTATAGACGTAGGAAGAATATCATCTGGGTTCCAGATGAGTTTCCCGTCAAAAGCCAAACTGGTATGTAGATAAGTGTATTAGTCAAATTTCCCTCAATTTACGTTCAAGTAAAACTTCAGGTTGCCGGAGACTAGGGGGCAGCAGCTGACAAGGAACATTGCTTCTAACTCTTCCAAGGAGTAGCTTTTCCTTAGGACTGTCTCCCTTTAAGGATATTGCACTTAGTGTGGGTCGTATTACTTGGTCGAGGTGCGCCAATTTCCGATGAACAATTTCCCTGGACATGAGGAATATGGAGGGATAGGAGTTGACATTGAAATCTTTCACCAAACTTTCCTCTGTCATCCCATTCACTTTAGCCAGTGGTATCGGGGGACTATGTTTGGCCAATTCTTCTGCGGCCAGTTCGTACTCCGGCCACATATCGATACAATGTGTACACCTGCGTTAGATAAAAGAATGATAATTTGGTGTTTGTTTGTCAGTGAAAACGTTTTCATCATAAATGAATTGAAGGTGGGGGTAGACTGACACATTTTGTCCCCTAGATAAAACAATCAATTTGTGCCGAAACCCCACTGACTGAGCAACGTTGACACGGCCTGGCGCCGCTGATCGGCTGGAGCTGTACTAACTGTTCTGAGTAAGGTTTGTATGCAATCCTAGTTCCTTAACAATACAATGAATAAACATGTAAATTGGTTAGCCTGCAGTTAAAAATGACTTGAAGTTGCATATGGCTGAAACAGCGTTGCACTTTCAAGACAAAATTTACGAGAATTAGCGTTAAAAAACAGTTTTTCACCCATATCTAGTGTCAAATTTTTACCGCGCCTTATGTAATAAACTAGTGGAAGCAGCATGTCCAGATTCGTTAGGAAAAGATATCGAGAAATTACAGAAAGATTCCAGACGTTTTAGTGCTTTCATCAGACAACGATTTAAAGTACATTTAGGAAAATAGCACTGCAACAAACCACCGGCGCTGAACCCAGATGGCATGCTGTCGATGATCATGATGATCATGATGATCATGATCATGATGATAACAGTATACAGATACTTCGAGTCAGCAGTTGTTGTCCATCTGCCATTGCTTACTTCGACTTGATCGTTGACACTTCAGCAAAAGCCAGTATTCTGTGGTTTTGACTGTGCATAATAATGCTTCCGTAATTTTGTTGTCGTTCTTGTTTTGCGTGAATTTGTTCTGGTGAAAATTCTAGTTGGCTGATTCGGACCCATGAACTCGTGTGGTGAGACATCCGATGAGTTTTCACACAAATCTTTCAACAGCTTCGAAAAATATGACATAAAAGAGTCAAAAGTAAGCGTTTGGCTGGCCAGTATTCTTGTGGTCAACTTTTGCAGCTGACCAAATGTACGCCCCATCAAGGTCATCAAGTCCCCATCGAGCCTCACACACTCCGGTTGTAGGCTGAAACCCCAGGACATGACTAATTGTCGCTGATGAAATTTACCAGCCTAACTGCTGTTGCTCTGCCACACAAGGCAGAACGCAGGATGTTCTGGAGCCTTCCAAACTGTAATTCGAGTTTTATGAAACGCTACTTGTTGAACGAACAACCACCCTGGCAAACTGCAAAGTATCACACAAAGACATAATCTGTGTGAATGAGAATAGCCATCCAAAATATTCTTGAAAGTAAAGACCGCGGACTGCCTGCATTCACTGAAGCCTTGATCGGTAAATTGGAGATAATCTGGATTATGTACACAGTAGTTGCTCTTTTAGATACCTACTTGTTATATCATAGAACATAACTCAACCATCGCACACGACTGGCCATTTATTCACCGATGCTATCATGTTGGTTTTCTGTGATCATGTTTACCTTAAACTTCTGACTAATGCAAACAGACTGAAGCCTAAGTACATGCGATCTGTTTGAAAATATCATGTAGGCCGCTGGGTTTGAGGGACTGCTCCAAATGTTGATACCCTTACTGATACCCTTTGTGTACGCTGTATACATAACAACGTAGTAAAGTCCAGTGATTGATAAATTGGGAACTATTCTAGCTCGATGGAGCATTATCGCAGCCGAAGCTCCTTTCTTCAGAAGAAAATTGCTGTAACATGAGTAAGCACTCATTGTAGCAAAGCACCAGTGTTGAAATTTGATGTGCTGTCGTTGATGTCTGTGCTGCTGCTGACGGTGATGATGATCGTGCACTTGACTTTGGTAGCTCGAGTGAATTTACATTTTGTGACCTTACCATGACAGAAAATCTCCATTCATCGGTCCAACATCAAGGTTCTACGTGCTCTAAAGCTTAAGAAGCATGGTGCTTGGAAAGCAGATAGTTAAATGTTTTTTTTACCAATCAGTGTGGATCTTAGAATAATCCTCATGTCAATGAACTAGTTGGAATCAATGAATAGCACACAAACGCTTACCAGTCTACTGAAAAAAGGAGCATAAATAGTGGATTTCGATGGCGAAATGAAGTAATATTTTCCCTCGTGAGTACGACGACTTTGGAAGATTCCGTGATCGAACATAATGTAGCCACTGTAAGAGAACGAGGAGCTGTAATGATTATCCAGCTAAGAAACTCATTACTTCGCATTATATTTTCGGCTATGCCAACAATGTGTGTAACAACAGAAAATACGAAAACAGTTTGTGTTGTTTAATCCAACCCCACTCTTAGCTAATAGGGACAGGTATAAAGAATAGGGAAATTTTATTGCAGTCAGTTCTCTGCCACTTTGACAAAAACTAATACAGAAGGGGCCAGCTGATGCATTAGTTCTTGGTAATTTATACGGCACGTTCTTTAGGTATTGCTTCTTTTCGCATAAATTTTATTAGTTTGGAAGCGGTTCTTTTAACGTGGTTGTGCACAACCAACGATCCATTCTCAAGCGCTCTAAAAACGCACCAAAGTTATTCCTCGATCGGTGAGGAAGCTTTTGCAATCAAATTATCCCGCCCAGCGGACAAATGAGTGATCATTTCTGCATTATTTGAACATCATAGTTACCCGAGTACCTCAGTAGGCAAAAGTATGGAGGTACTGAATTTCGGATCTTGGGTGCGAATCAAACGAGTAAAAATTTGGCATAGGTTTATAAGCTGCGGCTTTCGTGTGCGCACACTCTTGTTCAACCGTTTTTATGGGGCAATCTGACCAGCAATTCGGGTAAAATTATACTGCAGGTGAAACTGGTAGGCTTTTGTAGGCTTTTCTTTTATTCTTAAACCCTCGAACGTGCAAGAGTATACACCAAGCTCCACAAGAGCTTACGTATACAAAGCGCTGTCCGTCAGGGATGTCAACTTTCTCCACTTATATTTAAATACATGATTGTTGAAACCATGAGACAAGCGCTGTAAGGTCTCCAAAGCCCCGGTTCTCAAATAGCCGGTGACGAAAACCTTGTCAGTCAGAGTATGCAGAGGCCATCGTTCTCATTTTCGAAGAACAGGAGGCATAGGTATTTTTGGATGAACGGAAAAGAGTCATTCCGTTCTTTGGTATGCATTCTGCATTCAGAAGGCGTGCTTCCAAACGTGCAGTCACTAAACACAACTTCTTACAATCCAGGGAGGGGCACTCAAAGTTGTGGAGCGTCTTACGTATCTTGAAAGTTGTATTAGTTATGGTTGTAGAGTAGCAGATGAGGCCAAAACAGGAATCTACAATACCCGAGTCGCTGTTGCCAAGTTAAGACACCAGTGGTCAGTGGCATATCCCTGAATCTCAAGCGATTTGTGTATCAGTCTACGGTGGGGCTGTTTTGTTGTATGGCCGTAAAACTTGACTTGCTTGAGCAGCGAAACTGGGACGTCTTCAAATGTTCGACAGTCGTTGTCTCACAACTATAGCTCGTGTGGTTTGGTGTCAGCGAATCCGTAACCAGGCAGTTTAAAAGTGCGTTTTCGGTTGTGCAACGAGTATTTCCATTGAAGAACGTATCCAGTACCAGAAGCAGCGTTATTTGGGATGTGTTGCGTGTGCCTAACCATCGTTTGTCGGAGATAGAGCTGTTTTCCACGCTCAAATTAGAATGGCGGGATCGAAGAGGTAATCAACCCCTCACCTGGAAGACTAGTATCAAGATAACAATATGTTTGGGTGCTATCGGTGCTAGGTGTCTTCTGAAATGGGGAAAGCATGATTCTTACTGCGTCTGGTTGGTGAAAGTGCAAGTTATGGCAACCAATATATGTCAGTGATGTTCTTGTTGTCAGCTTCTATACAGACTGTCTGAGTGTCTGCAGGTGTGGGAACCTTGAAATAACTGCAGTAAGCCAGCAACAAGACCCTTCCTTGATCATCTTTATTTTTTTGTTTACAATAAGACTTTCAAATAAATCATGGTTGTACAAGGGTGGCGCATCAGTGTTGGACACTGATATCATACTGTCAATGACAATGATAACTGTTATTCATTTTTGCCTCTTTGAGACCACCAAATCTCTTTTAGGAACACAAACGTTGGCATTTTTCTGTATCCAGTTTGCGAATATGTGTATTGGGCTCAGTCATGGCGGCTAGTGAACAACTTAAAACTTTGTCTTGTGTGGCGGACTTAAATGCTGTGTGTTTTCGTCTGAACTATTTACCCCTCTGTCAGTTTTCATGATCGTTCTACAATAACGGTATGTTTGTATTGAAGATTTTACCCCATAAGTAGAGTCAGTCTGTAATGAAAAGCCTATAGGAAGTGCATGGCTGTCTCATCCTTATTTGGAACCATCAGCGGTGACAGACTCACAAAACTCTGAAGAGTCTCAAAACTGCAACTTCCCGGTTAAAAGCTTGAGTACTTAGCTGTTCATTTACGAGCGGTTGATTGGCAGTTGATCGAGCCGTACGCAGTTGGGATATGGCGCCAACCAACTGTTAATCAAAGATACACATCATATGGTCATACGCGTCCACTTAACAGCAACGTTTTGAACGAAAACTTCATTCACTGGGTGAATTTCATTCTTCCAAAGAGCTACCTATAAATCGCTCGCAGTGTGAGTTCTTTGGGTTTTCGGTGGAATCCATCTTGAAAGCGAAGCCAGTCTATGCTGAAAAGTCAGAAAACAGTATGGCCCTGAGTTCTTGCGTTATGTGTTTTTTGTCGTCCTGCGGCGGAAAGCACAATTTTTATCCTTGTATGTCAAGGTGGATATAACCGTTCAGAGGCTGTATCGACGGCATCATCACACTTCCTCATGAGTTAGGGCGACGTCATATATGCAGGCAGCCCGCAAAGTTAATGTTTCCTAAATTCAAGGGTTTGTTCAATTCTGTCCATCAGTCACCGCTCTCAAACATAGCTGCCCAACGAGGTACCCCCAGAAATTTGTACACATGTTTTCAAACATGTATTCACATACTTCCGACTACTGTTAGCTCTATATAAGCTTTCCTACTAAAAATAGCTTCCATTGAGGATATTTACTTTCTGCATTCTTGTTCGAATTTGCCGCTGACGAACTAATAACTCAGATAATGTGAAACCCTAAAACTCCGCATTTTATGTCGTTTTTGATAAGAAATCTATAGATTCGGATTATTCAGACATAGTATTCATCTCTGAAGCCAAAGGCCAACCGCAATATACGCTAAATAAATGCCATATTAAGCAGGTATATTGCAATATCAGTGTTCAAAGTCATAGTTCAGAAAGAGCAGACTTTGCGCATGCTCTTCGCTTGCTTGGAGTTTTGAATAATTCTCCGCGCCTCGGCCCATGTAACACATGTGTTGGAATGTCTTATCAGCCCAGTACACGTATCCCAAAGACGCAAATCATTTTTGGCGGTTTGTGTTACTTGTGGCAGGTCGGTTTTTTCTGGAGCCTGTAGTGCTAGAAGACAGTGACGGTTTTATTCTTGTATGGCTGAAAGACTTCTTCGAAAATATGATGTAAGGCGTCTTCAGATTTCTGAGGATCAATGCCTTAGAAGTGTAGCTGGTGTCGTATGAGACCAACAAACTCGTAACAAGAAAATTAGTAGACAGGCATTTGGTCGTATGCATGTTAAAATGTCGTCCACCGATATGAGTATTGTTTTTCGCGCTCACTTTAGAATGGAGCGATCCATAAGATGGGCAATGTATGACTAAGAAGAATAGTATGAAATATATTGCAAAAAGTGAGTGTTTTTGAAGTGTTCGTCTTTTCAGATGGGATCCTCAGGACGCCTCATAAGCTTGAAGGGAGATATTACAAAATGGCGGCTAATCGATGTCTGTAGTGCTTGTGCCGTTCAGTTTACTTCGATGTTGTTTTCTTAAATTGTTTGAAGTGTAGGCACCTCAGAATGCTCACGATCGTCCAGTAGCAGGCCACCTCCAACGATTACCAACTCTGCCCTCCTTTTTCAATGCAAGGCTTTAAATAAAACCTTATAAAACAATATATAAAACTTTCGTTTTATATTTTGGGTCGTTCTCCGATAGAGGCCTAATTTGCATTAATTTTCACCACAGCATAAAAATCACCAGCTACGGCTTCTCAATAAACTAGCTGGTGTGCCACTCGAGAGGTTTGGACCAGCCAAATCGCAAACACGATTTCACAACGGCTGAAATGCCATTTGAGTGCCACAGTAAACCAAATAAATCAAGAAGCAAAGATGCGACCCAGAGTTTGTCCAATGTTTTCATATGAATTACAAACAAATCTGGCATTAAGAAATCGAGGGATATTTTACCAGCTGGTTTACAGAGGCTCATAAACAAGGAAACTAACGAAAGTAACTACAGTCTTTTTTAATTCTGTAGCAACCGTTCTTTACCTCCAATTTATTTGGCAAGTTCCCTTACGCGTTTTTCTTCATTTATTACGAGCGCGTGAGTATGATCTGTGTTGTATTCAATTTGGAGAGGAAACGAGGCAACATCTGCGAAAATGGGAGGTATGTTCTTATATGTCTACAAGGTGTGACTATTAGGTCCACTACCACAGAATGACAAGTACTGCTACACCAGGCTCAAAAACTGTCGACCTGTTTCCATCCTTAAGAAAAATTTGCTAATACTCACGCCGATGTCATATTGATAGATACTGGCTAAGTCGTGCTACGCCATTTAAGTTTGAAGGAATCTGCAGCATAACTTTTGGTATACCCGGTCAGATTTTTAGCAGATGAGTCCAGATTTATGTAGAAAATAATGTTTATAAACGGTAGACATAGCTAACTGCAAATGTGAATTAAAAATTGCTTTAGATTTTCATACGTTCACAGGCGATTGGGCTTAAAGTTATCCTTGTGATTGATGAAAAGAGTATAGACACATAGGTTACCCAACATAAATACAACCATAAAACAAATCCACGAAAATATAATGGACAATTGATTATGGGGTTTTATGCGGTTGTTTTCAGCGCAAGACCTGTTGTTCTATTCACTGCTAGGGTACCCAGGGAGACATGCACCGCACATTTGCTGCGGTTGGAAGCCATCATCACTTAATACACTCTTTCGACCTGCATGATTATTTCACCCCCGAGAATGCCGCTGTGATCCGGGAAAACAATTGATTCGAGCAACTCACACTCATGAAGTATACGAAATGGATGATTAAACCTCGGATCGATATAAGTGAAGCGTCAACAGATGAGAAATTTAGGGAGAAGAAAGAGAAGGGCTAATTGCATAACTACACATCTTCAAAGGTCGATTCGATGCCGGCGACGCCTGTTCCTTTAATTCTTCTCTTTTTCGTCTAAATTGAGACAGCCAGGTGCCGTCTGATTCTTTGAGAGAACTCATATTGATCGAGCGTCTCGTGCTGCTGGGTATATGAAACTGCCATTCGAACCGTAACACCATGGATAAAAGACACTTTTAAGGTATAGAATAGATAGTGAACAGAGAGTTCCGTCACCCTCTGCCTGATTATGAATGATATATGCTTTTCTATTTCTGTCTTCAGTTTGAAACCGGACCACCCTAAAATATAAGATTATTTCGAGCGTTAAAACTCCGTCTCCGTGGGAAAATTTATTTAAAAAATCATTGCCCAGCCTCGCCGTCTTTTCATAGCTCTTAAATACTGCACAGGTTACTTACATAATGCAAACAGCTGCCAAGTGTCAATCATTCGCGCGGTAACACAGACGTGAGCCTGAAAGATCTTCAAGGTCGAACGGGAAATGACCTTGATGCATTCAAATAGTTTCGGTAGGTCCTCAGTCAGATTACGATGCAGTAGTAGTAGTAGCAGTAGTTGCAGCAGCTGTTATTGGACTGAGAACTCCTAAGGCCACGGTCAGTGATTTGTGTTTTCTTGATATTGTGAGTTCTCTCCGTACTTATGGCACTTTTATGCGTGGCACATGGCGCTGAATGGACATTGTTGCCATTTAATCTCACACCAGACCAGTATGACGGACACTGTGCCTGATGTGCGAGTCTTGACTGTGCTAGGGCCTACCGCGCCCTGAAGAGCACCCAACGGTGTTTGTCCTTTCTTTGGTTGTTGGTCTTTAGATGCGTGTTTCCATAGCAAATTTTTTACATTCGTTGGGATTCACCTCATTTGACTGGGAGTGTTGTTGGAATGAATTCGAATGAGGAGGTTCTCTCTTTTCTCCCCTATTCTCCTGTTACCACTTCGCATTCGTCGTTTGCAGTCACCTTTTATATTTGTGACCACGTTCTTTATGAATAAATGATACGACTAGCAGTGGTAGACGCACGTTCGCGTACCGGAAATTTTACGTACGTTGGGATTCACCTGTGGCGTTTTGTGCCTTTATTTTACTTCCATCATAACACTACGTATTTCATCATAATCGCATATTCGTTTTTTGTTTAAATACGAAAAACTACAAAAACGCACACTTCTACGATTTCACAGAATACAAGCGTGGTCACGTGCTTCAACTCTCTCCTCTGTTTTCGCTCGCGCTTGTAGCGGTCATTCGCGAGTCTCATGTACTAACTCGGGTACCAAAACATTTCAGACCATCTTCGGAATCTATTATATATGGGGACTGTTCAGAAGAGGACCTCTGGGCCAACACAAGTGGATTATTGTTTATTCGCTGACCTGGGCCAACAACGAACTATTTCAAAGAGAGCAATCGTTAGTCTGTTCCATTTGACCTCTTTATTTTTGTATACCTAACCTAGCGCTATTATTTTTGTTTCTTTGCCACACACTCCTAGTAAACTAACTTATTGGGTAGCCGGAACACCACACACCTCATCTGCTAACCTCCCTGGAGTTTGCTAAACATCCCGGTGTCTGCCAACCTCCCCAGAGTCTGCTGGTCACCTATCTTTCGGATCCTCATCCTCGAAGGCAAGACATACAGTGATGAAATGCTTGTCCTCAAGCTGTCACAGCCTTCTCAACAAACTCGGCCATAGTAAAATGTCAGCTTGCCTTGAACAACCGTCTATAATCGCACCTACAGAGACCTAACTAACACCAGATATCTCTGACGCGGAGATCTCGATAAACGGCTACCCTATTTTTTACGAGCTGACTCAAAACGAGGGACGCCTGTTGAGGGTGGTCTATACTGAAATGCAGCCTTACCAATACCGATTGTCCTCTTCGATACAACTCTCGCACCTTATTGCGATGTTCCGCATATCCAAACCCCGCTGCGCGGGTCAGATTCTCTCCTTTTCGGTGTGGTATACCGTAGCACCTCCAGTCCCACTGAAGAGGACCGATTCATCATATGAACCATTGAGCGACTCTCCTCAAACTACCGCTTCACCCGTAGCCTT